TGGGTGAGAGCATCTCACAATGGAATGATGTAAGTTTATCAGTCATGTAGTGAGACTCAATTCCATTAGCAGAAGATATCTCCCTGGAGGGACGATGGGTCATGGAAGAGATAAAGAACACTGCCCTACCTTGTTTCAACAGATGGTAATAGAATATATGCTTTTGGTTACATCATGCATTGCAACTTAAGACAGGAAAGAAGGAAAGTTTGCATATGTATATTAAAAAAAAAAAAAAAAAAGTTTTTTCTGTACTTCCCATCAGTGAATGCTCTTCAGCCACTTCCTGGCAAGCTTCAGCACATTGCAGTTGCCCAGGAAGGCAAACACTGTAAATAACACATGCCCCACCCTGTTCCTCCTCCTTTCCTTAGCTTTTCTATCCCAACTGACATCATACAGTATGGAATACCTCTGTGTTTAAACTGAGCCAGCTGGTCTAGGTGTGTCCCCTCTCAGCATCTTGCCCACTCCCAACCCTTGATGAGGGGTGGGAGGAAATGTTAGAGAGCTGGTTCTGATGCTGTGCCAGCCCTGCTCAGCAGTACACAAAGTATAGGGTGCTATCAGCACCTTTCCAGCTACCAGTGCAAAGCACAGCACTAAGAGGGCTGTGATGGGAAAATAAGCTCCAACTCAGCCAGACCCAACACAGAAGTAAAAGAGACTATTTGGCAGATGTAAAGGATATTTTAGGTTGAGTATTAGTTCAACAGCATGGGAACCGTTACAGTGAAAAAAATACAGGCATGAGACAGTAGCAAGTTATTTACAGTATTTCTTAAGGAAAAGTGGACACAGCTTCAGAATAAAATCAATTAATGTTTGACAAACCTGCTGGAGACTGCCATCTCTAAAATCTTCAGGACCCAGGTGAGTTCTGTATCAGCAGTCTGGCTGCTGCAGTCCCTCAGTGCAGACAGTAGACAGACAGCTTGATCCCGTGGGCTGGGTCCTTGAATGCCCCAAGAAGCAGCCAATTCACTGTCCTCAGTTCACTGAGCAAGTCACTGCAGTTGCTCTACCTGTTATTGTCTCTCTGACTCTGAACAGGTCTTTGTTTAATGCAATTATCATGTTATCAGATAACTTGACAAAGGTTATGGAACACTTATTCAACGAAAGCTGACACAATCATGCAAACTAAGGTGGCGACAAAATCAGCGGGGTTAATAAATATTGTTAACAAGATCCACACAAGTTAATTGCAGAGCTGATAGCTATGACTTTTGCTGCTACAGGGAAGGAGAGGAAAAATCACAGACAGGCAGGAAAGGATGAGGACATATAAAATATATATACCCACTGAAAATACACTAAAAATTGAGCATCTATCATAATAATGTGTGGTGATGTCATCTTGAGTTAGATAACAAACAAATTATATTCTAAAATATACTAAGGACCAAAGAAAAATACATAGAATTTAAGGACTTCGGGGCACATCACAAGGCTAATGATGCTAATAGCAGTAAGGTTCATGTTTTTAAGTGTTTTTTTTCTTCTTATAGCAGGAGGTAAAGAGCTGCTAATGTTTAGGTGAACCATTCCACAATATATTCTCTGATTAATGAGGTGGAAGAGAGACACACCATTTTTTTCTTGCATATATTTTCAGAAAAAATTGACAAACAGAAAAGTATTTAATAACCTTGGCATATTATAAATTTTAAAGCCAAAGGACATAAATTGAGGAGTAATATGTGTATTATACAGTGTTGTTTTATGGTACTGATTCTATTTTCTTTATTTTCTCCCCTCACATGATGAACTGCATTTTCTTCTTCCCATAGAGATATTTAGGTCATTTTGATGATGATAGAAGTTAAAACCAAAATGAAATATATGGTTTTGGGGTCTTAGAATACATGGAAATAGAACTGGTGCCTGTGGTTATCACAACTTTTATTATTATTTTGGGGGATTTTTTTCTTTAGTTTTTGTCTTCCTTTCCTTCTTTTCTATCATGTAAACAAAATATTTTTAAGTGAGGCATAAAGAAGGATGATTATCATATTAAGAATCCAGGTAACCGTGTTAGAATTTATGACTTTTGCTGAGGGAATTCCAGCAAAATTGATTTACAATATCGTAAGGAGAAGAACTGTGTATATATGAAATGTCAAAAATATTTTAACACAGAAAAAATTTAGTTAACAGGATGCTAATGCTAGTTCAAAAATATTCTTCTTGTATTTTCCAGATTTTATAGAAATTATATCATAACTCTAATTATCTTCAGAAATGTTCGTCTAATGAAAATGTTTATGCAAAAAGAAAAGCACTTTCTGTTTGATGTGTAGGACATTTAAGCAAAAAAATCAATAATCTGCTTAGAAAAAAGGATTTTTTAAATGAGCCATACAAAATGGCTTAAAATAAAAGGAAAGGTTCTCTGCTTCAGCAAATTACTTCTAATAAGCATTACATTACATGAAAAAACAAGAAAACTAATAGCATTTTTAGTAGTCCTACTACTTAGAAAAAATTTCAAAGACTATAAAAAGCACAATAATGATCATAGACAAAATTAATTATTTTTATCTACTCAATGTCTTGATTGCTAATCAAGTTTAATGCTCAACAATATATTAAACAAACAAATAAAAAAAAATAAATGCACAGACATTATTTTCTACTGTAGGTACAGAAAATTAATGATTAGAAATTGAGTTTCAGAGTAATGTCTTATGTACTCTTGTAAATTTCTGTAAAGAAGTCTAAAATTGTGATTATTAAATTGCAAATAATTTTATACATGAAAGATTAAAAATTATACAACACAAAAATGCCATATTTTAATGTGTTAAGCCAAATACGGGATGAGAGGTGCATACTTTCTCTTTCATAATCATACTTACTCTAGTGTCTAAATTTGCAAGTGTTGGCAGGTAAAAATATTGCTGTGTCAGGAAACCCATAAATTTGCTGTATCTCTCTGAGTTGCAATAGTTTGACTCTTGATTTTGACTAAACTCGTGATTTTTCTTTGGCCAGAAGTTAGAGGACTAGTGATGAACTGATTCATAAAGTCAAACTGGAAAGATACATTAAAATAAAAAACAAACGAACAGGCAAACAACAAAACTAACATTGCCTAGTTCTAACACTATCAAACCAAACATGTCGTGATGATTTTTCAGTGACACTCTTATTCTGCAGATTTCAGCATCAAAAATGTTTTCAAAGATCACTAAAAGCTGAGTATGATTCTTGTTCCAAAGTACTAAAAACTCTCAGTCAAATGAGCATGGATCACTTGGACCATTGCATCATAACTGCCTTGCAGTATTGAGCCAACAACTTCACAGAAGCCCATGACAAAGTAGCACCCCAGAGAACAGCCAGTCAAATCAGGTATTCAGTAGCATACCAGAACCAGAAAAAATAAACCTCTACCACAGTAAGACAGAGAGAGAAGATAAGATTTTCTGCCTGGCAAGTCATTAATCGAGTAAATGTTTTTAGCCATCAGATCCCTATAGACTTGATATTATCTAATCAAATTCAGATATGATGGTTGTTCATGGGTATGCAAAAAGTACAGAAAAAAGTGTCTGATCTCCTCACATGGGCCTTCTCAACATTTGTTTTATTGACAGTGTTAGTCCTGATTCCAGACACTAGGGTTAAATCTTACAACTTTCTTGAAAGTGTCATTGAAGTCATGGATCTGTGAATTCCCTCGCACCATCCATTCTCAAGTCACTTTGCTGTCCTTCACTTTCTCATCATTTTTTTTTTTTGCTTTTTCTTCTGCTGGTCAGGAAATCCACAGAGGAATCTTTAATCTTCATTATTTTGAGTACTTTCTCATTTGCTGTGATTTTTATCCAGTTGGTTGAAAAACGTAACAATTTGTGCAAAATGAAGAATATACTTCTGTCAGGAGCCTTTTCAATGTACATTTCACATTCTCATGTTTTGTTTTTTTTATTGACCATGCTTCTTTTCTGTATCCATCTAATTAATTTTTCTTTCTACTTCACCACTCATATTTAGAAGCTGTTTCCAAGGCCTCAGGTCAAAAGCAGTGCTTTCCAGGGGGTCTGTGCCTGAAAGCACAAAAAAACTCGAAAAGTCTAGATTTCTGGGATCCAACACATTCATATAGCCTTTTCCTACTCTTGACATAGCTCTTAAATCCAGGCAGGATTTTTCCAAATATTTTTTTCCACCCCCCCTGGTTTTAGAACATCTTGCTACCCATTTTCTTGGAATTTTTCTAAAAATTAGCCTGCACTGAACAACACCTACCCTTCTGATTTCCCAAAACTTCTCACCTTTTACAAAGAAATTTTCATTTTATTCATTGTTACTCTGTTTTCTTTCTGTTATTTCTCTTTTGCATTTTTATGTGAATATATATTTAAACTATTCTTTATTTCTCCAACCAAATATTTCCTTATTTTTTAAATTTCATATTTGTAGCTATCTGGGGACTGTCTTCATTATTTAGCGATCAATTTTGCTTTTAAATAAAAAAAACTGTAAATATTGGCTTTACCATAAAATCAGATGTTTATGCTCTTTTCTGATGCTTACTATTGTTTTCTGCATTATTTTTTTGACATATGGATATATTTTCTATATTCATCAAGAAATCCAATTCCACAGGACTCACCAAAGACCTTTCCCTGAGACAAAGGAGTTTTACTAACTGTACAGATCTGGAGAGACTTTTCATCTGTGGGATTCATGATTATATCATGGGAGAAAAAATTATGTGAACCCTCTCCCACCTTGGAAGGAGAAGAGAAGGGAAATAATAGAAGCATCAAGATTTGAAAAGGCCCAGGACTCAAGGTATGGTTTCACCAGTGCAAAATACAGGGGGACGGTCACTGCCCTGGTCCTGCTGGCCACACTATTGCTGAATAGAGGCCAGATGCCATTGACCTTCATGGCCACCTGGGCACACTGATGGCTCATGTTCAGCTGGCTATCAATCAGAACCTCCAGGTCCTTTTCTGCTGGGCAGATTTCCAAGCACTCTTCCCACAGCCTGTGGTGCTGCCTGGAATTGTTTTGACACAAGTTCTGCCTTGGTACTTGGCCTTATTGAACCTCACACCCTTGGCCTCAGCCCACTGATCCAGCCTGTCCAGATTTCTCTGCGGAGCCTTCCTACCTTTCAGCAGAATGACACTCCCACCCGGCTTGTGTCTTCTGTGAAATTACTGAGGGTACACTTGATCCTCTCATCCAGATCATTCACACAGGTATTAAACAGGACTGGCCCCAATACCAAACCTTGGGGAATCTCAGCTGTGATCCTCCACCAACTACCTGGATGTAGAAAAATTCACCACAATTCGCTGTCCACACAGTTTTTAGCCAGGTGTAGAGAGCACCTGTCCAAGCTGTGGGCTGCCAGCTTTTCCAGCAGAATGCTGTGGGAGACAGTGTCAAAGGCTTAACTGAAGTCTGAGTAGACAACATCCACCACCTTTCCCCCATCCAATAGATCAGCTGGTCAGAAATGTAGATCAGGTTGTTCAAGCATGATCTGCCTTTCCTAAACCCAAGCTGTCTGGGCCAGCTACCCTGTTGTCCTGCACATGCCTCAGGATTGTACTCAAGGTAATCTGTTTCATAGTCCTTCATAGCATCAAAGTTAGGTTGATGAACCTGCAGTTCCCTGGGTCCTCCTTCTAGCCCTCCTTGTGGATGGTGTCCTATTTGCCAGCTTCCAGTCACCTTCCCAGCTAACTTTCCCAGCTAACCAGGACTGATAATAAATAATGGCTTGATGAGCTCTTCTGCTGACTCTGTTAGTATCCTCAGGTGAATTCCACCCAGCCCCATAGACCTTTCCAACCTTCTGAGTATCTAAGTGGCACAGCAGGCCACTGACTGCTTACTTCTGTTTTACAAGGGGTCTCTTTTGCTCCATGTCCTTGTCTATCAGATCAAGGGGTTGCTTGGCCTGAGGATAATTGTTTTTCTCTTAAAGACTAAGTTAAAGAAGGCTCAGAAGTACCTCAGCCCTTCCCTCAGCTTTAGTAATGATATTCCTCCCCTCGTCCAATAAAATAAAAGTGTAAGATGATGTGTCTCTTGGCTCTCATGTCTCATCCTCTTCAGAGTTATCACTAATCAAGTTCTTCACCACATCATCATCTCTCCTTTGATTTTCCTCCTGGCACACTAATTATCATCTATTACAAATGTAAATCAAGCTTGTAGCACTGAAGTATACTTAACATGTTGCATATACATGAATTTCAATATTTTATCAAGGATGCTCACTCCTAAAAATAATTTGCATGTAACATTTAAAACCTGCTCTTGGCATTTTAAGGACCCTTCTTCAGTAAGCTCTGCAGAACCCAGGGAGAAAATGGAAGAACTAGGGGAGAAAATAAGCCCCTCTCAGTCTTTTTTAATGAGGCTATGCAGAATATTGTCATTTCTCTTCTTAGCAAGATGCCATGCTGAGAGCTAGAATAGAGCTGTTGTCTAAAAATGTTGTATTTCTTTACAGGAAGTTTTAAAAACCCTGTCAGCTTTTTCAAGCCCTTAATAAAAGAGCAGTAACCCAAGTCTTTGTAATCACAAGTGCAAAGCTTTCTATATCATGGATGTTAAAGAATTTTCTCTACTCAGTGTGTTTCGGGGGCTGTAAAATACATCCCTTGCCGTTGCTGCAGAGGTTCTGCAATTTTGTCTACTGATTTCAAACTCAGCAGTATCATATTCCAAAAATAGTGATGTGCAATTAGGAACCAGTTGCTTATTTCACCATTCCAAGTGTCATTTAATTTTATCTTGAAAAAATTCAGTGTCCTTGAAAATACTAAATAATGAACCCTCTTAAAGATGTATGAAATTACGTTAAATTGCTCTGTAATACAGGCTTGTATGTTTTCATATTAATAGCTCATGTTTTGTTTTCTTTGGGATTTTTATGGTATTTTTTTAGTCAAACAGACACATTTACTACGGCTTACTGAAAAATTCTTCTTTCATGGTCCAAAATAATTGAAATTTGTTTGCTCAAAAGATGACAGGATCTTACCATTTTGACATACAAAGATTAATTCACTTACGAGGAATTTTTCTTGTCAAAAATTAACGATGGTCCTAAGATCTGTTTTTATTTTCATGACCTGTCCCAGAGTTCCTGTTTGGTCTTGGACAAATCCCAGTAAACTCCACAGTAGTGGCAGTCAAGCTTTGGTTTTGCTAAACCTGAGTTAATAATTGTAATTTTAAAAAAGTTTTTATTTCTCAGGAGAGTTTCTTCATGATTATAGAGGACACACTTTGACTTTTCTCACACCATCTAGCCAGTAAATCACACTGTCTTAGGTGAAGATTCCATTAGATCAGCCTATCTGATCAAAATTCAGAGAAATATAAAATCTTCTGTGGTGCCAGATGAAGGGTTAGGTAATTCACTGGCCAGTGTATCCACTGCTTGGATAGGAATTTCAGAAATCTGGCTGATTCTAAGTAGTCTTATGGTCTTTTTCTTAGTCTCTAGACTACTTGAAATTTCAGGACGTCATGCTCCTCTACCCTCACTTTTGTAAACTAGTGCTCTGAAGTCTCAAATCAGGGAACCTGGGAATTTGGCCATTCTTAGCAGGGTGTTCTCAAACCACAGGACTGTTTTTTTGAAGGGGCACCATATTCATCTGGCTGGGGTGGAAATTCAGAGGGATGCCCCAGTTACCCTGTTGAGGTGCCTATGTACAAGACTCAGGTGGCCAGGCATTGGAAGAGATATTTTTTTCTGCATAACATGGAAAGGGACACTCATGGTGGAGGTTTTCAGGTGACTCCTCATATGACTACTTACGTATTTTACTCACGCATTCTATAAAATAAAATGCACAGGCAAAATACACAGAGGATGAAGAGAAGTGTTGTTCACTTTGAGGAAATATTTTATCCTTGGAACAGGAAATAAAAAACCCCAAACTTCTTTGTATATTTCAACACTGGCAAACCTTAATTTCATTAAGATGGAGGGTTTTTCCTTCGAGGAGAGAGTCATAGTTGTTGGTAGACTCTTCCTCAAGTACTCACTGCATATCATGTGGGTGCAAGTTTTGAAGAGAATAGTCTAGCTCTATTAATTAAAATTCAGTACTGTGGATATGCTTAATTTAAAATCCCTTAGAAAATTATGCACAGTTGGTTCATGTCCACAGATTTCTAAGAATTTCTTTGTTACACAGCTGCTGCAATTTTTATTTCTAGTCAATGATTTCTTTCATAATAAACTCAAGCTTTTAAAGCAATTTGGTAAAACTGTAAAATGTAAAAGGACTGTAGCCCTCATAAGAAAGCGACGATAATACAGAAAATTGCTGTGAATGATGTTCTGTCACGTAGGTAATAAAAAGGAATTAGAAGCAAGTGCTTCATTGATTGCTAATATAATCACAGAATCACCACTCTGCACTCTGGAAAGTAAGCAGCTGACAGTCTGGTTAAATCATTATCATTATACATTTAGTATTTTGCAGCTTTAAATGTGAAGCAAACACAACTCTAATCTAAGGCATCGAGAAGTGAAACCAAGGATCGTGGAAGGGTCCTAGAGGAAAACCTGAGATCCTGTGTTACAAATGGCTGTTTTGTCTTGCAGAGGTTTTCCCTTTGGCATATTAACCCCCAAGAACCCTTCAGCATTTATGAGTCTTGGGGTGTCTTCTGAAAGGAGCCTGACATGTCTGTATGGAGAGTCCTGGAAGAGCTTCAAGCTCCTAAATCCTGATGGGTGCCCTGTCTTGACTTTGTATCACTCACTGTGACAGCCAGGCATGCAGCAATCCTGCCTCCCAGGTCTGGTGTCACAGGATGGGAATTGTGAAGGGCAGGCCACAGCAACCTCACGGTGCCCTGCAGCCAGGGTCCAGGATAGAGCCCCAGAGGTTCAGAACTGTGCCTGCAGTGGACCTTTTTGTTGATCAGCAGTTTCCTTGCCTCCTGTCTTATTTTCTTGTCAGAGCAGTATAAGCTTCCCAGGGACCCGTGAAATATTTTATGGAGAGAAATGGAGAATTTTGCATGTGATTTAAAGTCTCTTTTATAAAAATTGCTGGAAAACATATCATAGATAGTACAAGATAAGAATTTTGCATTTACAAGAGATTGTCCTGGTCATTATATTAGGTCTTTCCTATCTCTTACCTCCAGGATCCTGAGAAATGGGATTTACAGGAGTAGCATTTTTGCTTCTCAAACTGTACAAATACCTGAATTCTACCATGTTCTTTGCTAAAGCTGTATCTTCACTTAGAGAGAATATTTTAGATGCCATTATATTCCAATAATATTTGATTTTTTTTCTTATTTTATGAGGGAACTTACTCAATTTCTTATGTATAGAAAGAAGTTTGCAAACCTTCCTTCCAGAATATCCATGGTAATCTACTCAATATCATTACTAAGGATACTATTGCTTAGAGACGCATTCTTTTCAGATTTAAAGAGTCTGCAAATGTAATGTGATATTTTAAAAATACAGCACAGCTTGGATTTTCTTAATACATTTTGTTTTACAACTGATCATTGAAATAACTACTCAGTTTTCACTGTCATGTCTCTACTATCAAATAAATTGTTATCAGCAAAACAGCTTTCATTACACTGAGATGAAACCACATATACTGTATTTTTAGCTACTGAAGTGTGTATTTCAATGGAAAGGCAAATGTAATGTAAGCCAGAATCTCTTTAGCTTCGGGCTTACCAAAATTGCTGCTTTATAGGCTTCTACTCTTGTAAAATGAGGTGAATTTTTCCTAGTACACTTTTTATTCCAGTTTTTAAATTTCAATTGCATTAAGAAGGAATGTAATTCATGCTCCTTCTTAATTTATCTTGCAAATGACATAACAAAGCAAGAAGACTTACATCAGGTGAAGATAATGGTCATTATTGATATTAATTTGAGCAAATCTCACTGTTTCTTAAGTATGTGATATGTGTCTGAAGTGGCCGTATTAGATGGCAGCAAGACAAAAGGTAAACTTTCTAAAAAGAAACAGACT